ATAGCAAGGCTAGAATGATACAGTCCCTGTCCATAAGAAGCTTACAAGAAATTTTACAGATTCACAGATTAAGTCAAATTTAAAATGATACATAAATATGTGCATATACACACATACACATACACACAAAGTTAATACACTGTAAATTTGGGGGGAAGCCCTAATAAGTGAGGAGCATTGGGAACACCCCTTGCAGGTAGTAGACCTTGAAAGGAGCCTGGAAGGAGCCAGTGATTCATGGAGATCAACCTTTCTGTGAAGGAGGAGGAAACTTCCAGGGCTGGGAATCATACCATGCAAAGGAACGGGGCCCGAAATGGAACACCAAGTTGGCTGGAAGAACGATGTGACAGACAGATAGGAAAATTAACATGGAGATGGAAATGACAATTTGGAAATTGACTGGATAGAGAGTAGAGGGAGAAGGAAGAAGGAAGGATTCATGTTGAAATCTTTAAATATATTGGCAAATGAGAGAAGTGGGAGGCGGGATCTATGAGGATATGGGAGCAGGGGAGAAAGGGGAAAAGAATGGAGACCTCTTTATCTGGATAAGTTGCAGTTCTGCCAGAAAGACTCACTGAGTATGTATATCTTTCCAGACCAAGATTTGCAATTCAAGGAATCGCAGATCTTTGACTGTGTGCTCTTATATACTCTGTTAGTGGTCTCAGCTGAAATCCCCTCATTTACCAATGGAGGCAGTTTAGCATTGATATAAATAAGAGCCATTCCTCTTAGAGACCTCCCATGCTGTCTCTTGCTCCGGGTCACAAGCTGAATTTGCTCCATTGGCTCCTAAAATGCCCCTCATCAGTTCTTCCCACTCTGACATTTTAAAGTTTTAAATGCTTTGTGTCTCATCCTTGGTCCAAACCTGTTCCTTCTTCTGAAAGTGTGTTTAAATATTTAGGGAAGCCCAGTGGGAGTTCCTTTTTCTCACAATGGAGCCACCTAGACTTACATTTGCCATGAATTGCACTGAACAGATTTATTTGCTGGAGGAAAATGACAGGCTGAAGGACCGAATGTGAAAATGAAACGTTAGTCTTCTTTAGATGACTCTCCTACCATAATTACCTCAATGTACTCTGAGACTGGCCACTGAGAACAAGGATGACACTCAGTTTTAGTTCAGTACATGTAAGCTGGCTCCTCTCTGAACATATAGGCAATGGATTGACCTGTAGAAGGCACTATGGGTCAATGGAAAGACCATTGGTCCTGGAATCAAAGGAGCTGGATTCAAATCCTGCCTCTAAGGCTTGATTCCTGTGTGACTCTGGACTAATTACTCCTGGAGTCTCAGTTCCGTCATCAGTAAAATGAGAGCCTCTGAGCTTCCTTCCATCTCTAGATCTGTGCATTTATGCTCTTATGATAACTGACTGTGGATGCAAGAGGTAACTAAAGAGGGGGGTAAAGATTTTGTTTGTCACATTTACTGTCATTTTGATATGATGTTCTATCACTATATTGCATGAGGACTGGAATGATGAATTTGAACTTCCACAAGAATACCCCTAACATTGATTTGTCTGGAGTTGAAACCTTGCTTGTGTTCCCTGGGTAGGACTGTGTGAAATCGCAGTATTTCAGCATTAGAGATCACCTACTCCAACTTACATATGATAATAAGTACTCCTTCCTGAGTGACCCTACAAGGGGTCATCCAAATTTGCTCCATGACTTCTATTGAAAGAGAGCTCCCTCTCACCTACTTTGCGGCACTGAATTTGCCTCATTGCTTCCACCAGATCAGTTCTATCTGTTTGGCCTTGTTCCTAGAGGCAAGACAGCCTCTGTCCTCTGAGGTCAACAGCAAGAGTCTCATCCATCTTCCCCATGGGATCCCTTCAAGCAGCCAAGGGCAGCCATGATATCTCCCTTTCCATGATCTGGTTGGAAATGGAAATGAGGAGTCAAGAAAAGACCAAATATAGGGGGCTCATGATCTCCATCTTCTAGACTGAAAGGCCATCATGGGAGGGCATCAGCCTTGTTCTGCTTGGCCGCAGAGGGCAGAACTGAGAACAATGGGTGGGCAATGCCAAGAGGCACCTTTAGGGTTGATGTCAAGAAAACATGCCTGTTCACACCCCAACTTCACCCTTAAGGCCGCCCTCCCCAGGACACTCTCCATTTCGTCAATGTCTTTCCTAAAATGTGGCACCCACAGCTGTCTTCTCATTAAGGCAGAGTACAGGGGGACTCCCACCTCCTTGCCTTGGCCACCGTAGGCGTTCTTATGGTTGATCCAAAACTTTGTTGCTATTAAAGTTGAAGTAGAGACTTGAGGTAAATCACACTGAAGAAGTCCCCCAGTGATTAGTGAGCCAGCCACAAAGGGGGACAATATGAACACCAGGTGAAAGGTATAGGGCGAATATTTGGGCAGGGTGCTTTGTAATTTGTTTTTTATTTATATTTATTTGTTTTTTGCAGTGGCAGGGGAGGGGGCGGGGGTGGGGGACATAGAACTTCTGAGATGACTCCAGAGGACATCACTAAGCTTGTCTTCCCACAGTCTCAGTTGAGGTGGACATAAAGAAAAGTGGGCCAGAGATTTCCCACTGGAAAGGCCACTCCCTGCATTTGGAGTAAGAGGAGCAGATCCATTTCTTCCTTCCTCTGTGAAGCAACGTAAAACCCTTACCTCTCTTGTCCTTGGCTTTTTCCTTTGTTATGAATTACCAGCAGAGAATGTCTTTGATGCATATGGGATTTACTGAATAGAGGGCTGAATTTGCCATGAGGAGGACCTGAGTTCAAATCCAGAGTCTGATGCAGACTAGTTGCGTTACCTTGGCCAAATCATTTAATCCCACATAGCCTCAGTTTCCCCAGCCATAAAATGGCAATGATATCAAAGCTATCCGCCTCACAATGTTGGCTCAAATGGTATAATCTCATCCGCTTCCAAAAGGGATGTCCCGCTTCCAATCCATCCACCCTTCAAGGAGCTTCCAAAATAATTTTCCTAAATCAGAAGTTTGATGACATGATAGCTGTGCTGAATGATTGTTCATGTTTCCTATTCCTCCAGGATGAAAGACAGATTCCTCAATTTGGCATTCAAACCCCTTTACAGCCTGCCACCTTGATAGGCTTATTTTAAATTTCTCCCTTTCCCACACTCTATGCTCCAGGCCGACTGACCAGAAGTGAGCATTCCCTCCTACCTCCGCACACACAGCTTTGTGCAGGAGGTCCACACTCCTTCCTCATCCCCAGCATCCTTCAAGGCTCAGCTCAGGGGGAGCTTCCTCCAGGAATCGCATGGCTAGGAGGTTTGGCTTCCTTCTCAAATTAAAAGTGCTGTGTGTTCCTGTGCACAGCTGGGTGATGGAGTCAGCTCTGGGCCTGGAGTATCGAGGACCTGAGGCCAAATATGAGCTCAGATACTTCCTAGCTATGTGGCCACAGCAAGTCCTTTAGCCTCCGTTTGCCTGAGCTCTCTCATCACCAAAATGGGACTAATAATAAAATCTATTTCCTAAGGTTGTTGTGAGGATCAAATCAGATAATAAGTGTAAAGTGCCTAGCACAGTGCCTGGCACATGGTAGGTACTTATATATACATATTAGCTATGATTATAATTATTAATTCTCCCAGGGAAACAAAAGCTCTTTGAGGGAAGGGAATATATATATATATATATATATATATATATATATATATATATATATGTGTGTGTGTGTGTGTGTGTGTGTGTGTATGTATATATATGTGTATATGTATATATACGTATATATGTATATATGTATATATGTATATATGTATATATGTATATGTGTATATATGTACATATATATATGTATATATGTATATATGTATATATGTATATATGTATATATGTATATATGTATATATGCATGTGCGCATACATACATATATATATATATATATACAATCACACACACACCTATATATACAAATACACACATATTCATAAACACACACACATATACATACACACATACATTTGTAGAACCTGGCCTGGAGCTTTACACTTATATGTTGTGCAATAAATGCCTGTTAGATTGGATTTGGAGATAAGTGCAAAGTGGTTTGTGAATCTTGAAGGGCTCTATTAACATCAGTTATTAATATTATTATCATTTTTCCAGCCCTGCGTCATTGTTCCTCCTTTTCCCCTCCAGCATCTCCAGGCTTTGGGCACAGACGAGCTGGGACGATGGCAATGTCCCTTCAAGGCTGGCCTCCTGTTGCCTCTGGCTGGGCTACCTTGGACGTGATGGCCAGCATGCAGAGCTTCCTCGTAGCCCATAATGTTCAATTATATTAATATTCCCACTGGATGGATTCGGCTTCCAGGAGTCACTGGGAAGGACAAAACTCCAAGGGAAATGGAAGCGTTTATTTACTGAGCAGGAAAACAACGGCAAACATTCCAAAGCACGATATTCTATGTAACCGAAAAAGTCACTATGATTAAGACCAAGAATAAACAAGATAACATTTGTTGTCATTGTTAAAAGGCTGCTCAGTAATATAGGAGAGAGGCGCTGGATTTAAAACAAGGCATCTCCTCATTCTTCTGAGTTCGAATCTGGCCTCAGATAGCTGTGTGACCCTGGGCGAGTCACTTCACTGCTGTCTGCCTCAGTTCCCTCATCAGTAAAATGGGGATAAGAGCACCAACTTCACAAGTTTGTTGTCAGAGAAAGTGAGATAATACATTCACCTTTAAAATGCCACATAAATGTTAAATAAATTATTACAGCAGCAGTGATGGCATTTTTATTATTCGGGGCAGAAAGGTTATTGGAGAAAACTATGTTTTGGGGCTCAAATCAGGCCTCAGACACATAACACTTACTAGCTGTGTGATCCTGGGCAAGTCACTTAACCCCATTGCCTAGCCCCCCCCCCAAATGTATTGTAGGAGAAAACTATGTGTTACAAGAAGGAAAGATATCAATGAAAACAGTGAGGCCGTTTCACATTGTTCCCCCAGGCGCACAGAGGGGCCTACCTCCAGGTGCCCGGCGAGGGTGGCCACGTGCAGGGCTGTCAGTGCCCCGTAGCCGGCCTGTTGGACGTCAGCCCCGCTGTGCAGGAGGGCCGTGATCAGCTCTGCATTGTCCTGGAAGGAAACACATCCTCAGTGAGACTTCTCATCTATAAGCTTTCAAAGCTGCGTGTGATGTTTTACTGATTCCCCGCCTGTCACTTGGTTTAGACGCCCAGAGAAAACAGAAGTGGGATTTCAGGTGTTCAGAAGTGTTAGCGCATCAGAGGGAGAGGCCAGGCTCGCAGGTGCTCAGAGCAGGAGCTGGGGAGTCACTGGGTCCCAGTTTTAATTGAGCCTCTTCCCAGTCACAAGGGAAGGCAGGGACGCTGTTTACCGGAGATGCTGCTGCCCCAGCCTCAGCTCAGACCTCCAGGCAGGGGTTGCCCTACGTGGGGTTCACAGACAGGAAGAATGCTCTCCGCAGCAAGGAGTGTTAACCTCAGGAAGAGACCAGGATGGGGCAGGGTTAAGTTTGCCCACTGTTTCTAGATCTTCGGATGAAAGTTGCCTTAGAGAACTGAGACATGGGCCTGTTGACGGCCAGCGTCAGATATAGTCATGGCTACTTTTTCATCATTACCAGTAATCTTTCGTTACTACGTCTGTAAGGCCCGGCGGTAGGGTCCTCTCCACACTCACTCAATACTGCTTCTCACAGCTGGGATCTTTCACTGCCCAGAACTATCAGGTTTCTGTTCAAGGCATCTAGGTTTCTGCTCATGGACCCACAAGCAGCCTGGTGTGGGTCCAATGCTAAGCTTCCTGCCTGTAGGGAACCCTGGAAAGGAAGCTCAGCACATCCAGAAGAGACTGGGATTGGAGGAGAAGCATTTAAAATAGTGATGAGAAGAACTCATAGTTGCAATAGCATTTATGATAACAATAATAATGTCATGATGAAATCTCCCTTAGCACAGGGCCTACACAGCAGCACAGCTGCTTCATTGGCATTCACATGAAACTTCTACTTATATCATCTCAGTCAAGCCTTCAATGCGTGTACTCTTCTGACCCTTTTACAGACAAATTAGGACTCAGACAGTGAGGGACTGGCCCATGGTGACAGAGTGAATGGTCAAGGCCACATTCAACATACATTTCCCTGTTTCTAAGTCTGGCGCTCTGAGGATCTACCATCTTCTTCTCCAGATCAATGACTTTTACAGAAATCTCCCAAGTCCATCACCAATGCTCAAATAACAAGCAGAGTGAGCTTTATTTCCAACTGAAGCATTAAGTGGAAATTAAACCCGCCTGAACCAACTTGCCCATCTTTCTCCGGGCAAACAAAGTCAAGTAACATTTATTAGATGCTTGCCATGTGCCAGACACTGGGCTAAGTGCTGATGATGCCAAGAAAGGCAAAAGCAGTCCCAGCCTTGGAGGAGTGTCATTCTAAGGGAGGAGAGCCACGCAAACTATGCTGTGCAAATGAGCCACGTGTGGGACAGATCGGAGGCAGTGGCAGAGGGAAGATGGCACGAAGGGGACCAAGAGAGCCTCGTTGCAGTAGATGAGATTTTGGCTGAGACTTTTAGGAAGCCAGGGAAGCCAGCAGGGGATGACCATAAGGGGGAGTATTCTGGGCATGGGGGGACAGCCAGAGAAGGTGCCCAGAATAAGGAAATGGAGAGTCTTGTGTGAAGAAGAGCTGGGTCATGAGGTATAATAGGGACAAAAGTGAGGACATGGGTCATGGTGTCTGGACAATGATATCACCGCTGGAAAGAGGATGTAGGACAGCATCTGGAGGCAGAGACCCTGGGTTTGAATCCTGGCTCTTCCATTGTCTATCAGAGTGATTTCTTAGCTGAGTGGGTATAACCTCTAGAGTCTTAATTCCAACATCTATAAAATGAAAAAGTTCGATTAAATGACTTCTAAGGCCTTTTCTGGGACAGCTAGGTGGTGCCATAGTATATAGAATGCTCGGCCTGGAGTCAGGAAGACTCATCTTCCTGAGTTCAAATCTGACCTCAGACATTTACAAGCTTGTGACCCTGGGCAAGTCAATCCACCCTGTTTATCCGAGTTTCCTCGGCTGTAAAATGAGCTGGAGAAGGAAATGGCAAACCACTCCAGTATCTCTGCCAAGAAAACCCCAAATGGGGTCATGAGGAGTCAGAAATGCCTGAAATGACTGGATAGCAACAAGAAGGCTTCTCTAGCGCTCAGTCCTCTGATCTTCTGAGCATCCAGTCGTGATGATGACATCCTCTCATTCTTCTCATCCTAACTCATATCGCATAGCCCTCTGCCATTGCCAAGCATTCTGTGCGAGTTATGTGACAGTCACCCTATGAGGCACCTGTTACAACTCTCATTCCAAACGTCCCGTGGAGAGGTCAATAGCTCTCTCAAGGAAACAAAGCTGGAAAGGGACAGGTCAGGATTCTGGCCCAAGGCTTCAGACTTCACCTGATTTAATTCAGTTCAATCAGCATTGACCATGCTCCCATTACGCACCAAGAGCTCCCAATCATTGAGGGAATAAAGATGAAGGTAAACAACCTCTGCCCTCTGGGCACTTCTACTTGCTTGAGGGTGCAGGATGCCCACAGTTAACTAAATATGAGCCATGTGCAGAGTAAACATGAAGTTATTTGGAGGACACTAAAGCTGGGGAATTGAGGAAGAACTCTCCAAGCAGATGGCATTGGAGCTGAGCCTGCTCAGGCGTGCTGAGAGACAAAAGGGTGAAGGAGGGCTGGCGGCCGTGGGTACTGTGGAAATGGGAGATGGACCGTCCAACACAGGGACCAGCCCACAGGCCTGACGGGCTCTGATCATACCTCACAGGAAAGATGGGTCATCAGACTGGAAAGACAGACAGGAGATTGATTCTGGAGGGCTTTGCATCCTAAATGGCTGGATTTACATTGTACCCTCGGCATAAAGTAGGGAGCAATCCAAGCTCCCGGGGCAGGGGACACCTGCCCAGACCTCTTTTCTATGGTAAAATTCAATTTTGTCCATTTGCCTTTAAAGCCCGTCGCAGCCTGGACCCAACCTGGCTTTTCAGACCCACCTTCCGGTCGGTTGTCGTGCTCTTTACTGACCAGCAAAACTGTCTTATTTGTTGTCCGTGAATAGGGCCTTCCATTTCTAATCTCCATGACTTTGCCCAGGACAACCTCCTGGCCTGTAATGTACTCCCTACTCTCCTCCCCCTCTTTGAATCCTTCATTCCTTCAGATCTCAGCTGAGGGGATGAGGCCTTTCTGGACCCCCTCAGCTCCCCCCAGCAGTTAGTGCCCTTCCCCTCCCCCGCCTCAATCTTCTGCTGACTTTTTTACATTTTTTGTCTTCTTATTTGTGCACAGATGACTTCTCTTGGCAGCATGGAAGCTCCTTGAGGACAAAGCTGGTTTGTTTTGTTTAATTTTTTTCTTTTGCACACCAAGGGCAAGGCCTTTAGGGCCCTGGAAAGCTTCTTGATAGAGTGGAGAGGAGAGGCAGGATGTGGAGAAACCTTTGGGGAAACCATAGCAACAGGCTGGCTGAGCTGTGATGAGATCTGAGCAGGGGAGGCGCTGGTGGTGCTACAGAAAATGGGTAATGGTAGGACTTGACTGGACACAAATTGACCACTGATGGGGTACTGGAAAGAGATATGGGAAGACAGAGTTGAGTATGACTCCTCGGTTGCAAAGGAGGGTGCCTGGAAGAATGGGGGTGCCTTCAACAGAAATAAGGAGAGGAGGGCAGTGTTTATGGGGAAAGATATGGACTCAGTGTAGGACATGTGGAAGTGAAGATGGCGAAGAGACAAGAGGTGTCCCTCAGGCAGCTGGAGAGAAATGGGGGCTGAATGCACAGATCTGGGAGCTGAAGGCAACGTGGAGGGGAGAGCCGGCACCTGTGGAGACTGATGGGATCTACAACAGGCAGTGTATAGAGAGGCAAGAGGGCGTCTTTCTAAGTAGATGAATTTCAAGGCCGTTACATGATAAACTCACCTCATAGAGCAGCATTTGACAGAAAGCATAAGCATTATGCAAATCCCGAACCTAGTAAAACTGACTACATTTATTACTGAGCATTTTATATATGGCAGGTAATAATACCGGCTTTTCCTAAAGAAATGAAGTTTCTATTAAGACTTGCATTAGGACTTGGTCGTCAAAAGAGCAGGCAGGTTTGCCTTAAGGCTACCTTGGGGCAAATGCGTGTTTATTTTTTAATACAGCTATATCTAAGCATGCTAGAGGTAGAGGGTACACACCCTTTGGCATATATAAGTGCATCTGGTTTGATATTTCAAAACAGAATTCAGATCTGCTTTCCAAAGAGCGTATGCTGGACAAAGGAAATGAGTTGTCAGATCAGACTGTGGGTAAAAAGATTCCAAACAATGAATCCTTCACAATTCCTTCAGGGGATAAAACCTGTTCTTCCTTCTTTCCTTTCTTCCTCCTTCCTTCCTTCCTTCCTTCCTCCCTCCCTTCCTTGATGCCTGCCTGCCTTCTCTTCTTCCCTCCCTTCTTTCTCTTCTTTCCCTTCCTCCTTCCCTCTCTCCTTTCCTTCGTTCCTCTTTTTATCCCTCCATCTTTCCACAAGTATTCTACAAGGAAGTCTCAAAAAGGGGAACTCCCTCCACTATTGCACAGGAAGCGAGTCTCTCCAGTTGATGGTCTGGGAGAGTTACCTAGAACACTGACAAGATAAATGACTTGTCCAATGTCACCTAGCCAGCATGTGTCAGAGGCAGGATCTAACTCAGGTCCGTTTGACTTTGGAGCCAACTTTCTATTCCCCAGGCCATCCTTCTAGTAACATAGCATTATTGAGACAGCAAGGCAGTGTAGTGATAGAGCACTGGTCCTGGAATCAGGAAGACCTGAGTTCAAATCCAGCCTTAGACACTTACTAACTGTGTAACCTCTGTCTGCTTCTGTTTTTTCATCTGTTAAAAGGAGATCATAATAACTCCTATGTACCAGGATTGTTCCGAACATCAAAGAAGATAATGATCATTAAGCACTTAGCACAGTGCCTGGCACATAGGAAATGCCATATAAGTATTAGCTGGCATTAACATTATTTTTATTGAGAGAAACAAACCCCCCTTT